CAATGTTTCAAAGGTGCTTTGATGTGACCTCAGACACTCAACTGGCCCTAAGAGAGTTTTGAAAAGATCACTTCAGTATCCTCCAATGCATAAACCTTGCATTTGTGGTCACAGTGGTGCCTATGTTAACCTTCCTATGGTGTAGAAATATACCTAGTTGGACGAATCTTGTTGTGGCTAGCTGGTCCAGTGGCTAACGCGACGGTCTGGAGTTTTGAGACTCTCTAACCGTGGGTTCAAATCCCATCCGTGGTATGGTTTCCTTATAGATAAGGTTTAGGAGGGAGTGACTTCCAGGACTTTGAACTCTGCTTGGAGAAAACTGTGGCCAGACTGTGTCAAAAAAGGGATTTTGAAGGGTTTACAGTTGACCCTGAGCACCCTGTGCCAGTTGTGGAATCTACTGTGGTATTGGGGAATTCCATGAGGTTGGATGTGAGTAACGAGGATGTAGAAGAGTTGATTGAGGACCACAACGAAGAGATAACCACTGAAGAGCTGCAAGAACTTCATCTACAACAACAACAGACCACAGCTCAGGAAATTGCTTCAGAGGAGGAGGGAGAGAGATGGAAGAAGGTGCCTTCTTCAGAGATTAAGGAGATTTGTGCAATGTGGAGTAGGATGGAAAGATTTGATGAGGAATATCACCCTGACAAAGCTCTTGCAAGCAGTATCGGCAACATGTACAATGACAATGCCTTGTCCCATTTTAGGGAAATTTTAAAGAGATGCCAGAAACAGACCTCTGTGGACAGATATTTAATGACTCTCAAGCTGGTCCTAGTGGCGTTAAAAAACAAGGAAGGGAAATAACCCCGAAAAAGCACTTGGTACCTGAAGTCTTTATGGAAGGGGATTCCTCTTCCAAACAGTAATTAATCCATCCTCTCCCCTCCTCCCACCTTCCATACACTAAGAACAATCATCAATATAAGTGTTATATTAATGTCTCATTGTTTTCTGTGTATGTACATCTATATTTCATGTAAAAAAATTATTTTGTTTTAATAATTTTGGGTGTCTGGAACGGATTAATTGGATTTGCATTATTTCTTATTGGGCAAAATGGTTTCGCAAATCGTCAATTTCAATATCAGTCACACACTCTGGAACGAATTAATTACGAAAAACAAGGGTCCCTGTATATGAAGTATCTTTCCATCACTTCTAAATAATTATTATTTTTTTTATTAGCACAACAGCCATTTCCCACCAAGGCAGGGTGGCCTGAAAAAGAAAAACTTTCATCGTTCACTCCATTACTGTCTTGCCAGAGGCGTGCTTACACTACAGTTATAAAACTGCAACACCCCTCCTTCAGAGTGCAGGCACTGTACTTCCCATCTCCAGGACTAAAGTCCAGCCTGCTGGTTTCCCTGAATCCTTTTTATAAATGTTACCTCGCTCACACTCCAACAGCACATGAAGTCCTAAAAACCATTTGTCTCCATTCGAGTCCTATCTAACACGTTCATGCATACTTGCTGGAAACTCAAGCCCCTCGCACACAAAACCTCTTTTACCCCCCTCCCTCCAACCTTTCCTAGGCCGACCCCAATCTCGCCTTCTCTCCACTACAGATTTATACACTCTAGAAGTCATTCTATTTTGTTCCATCCTCTCTACATGTCTGCACCACCTCAACAACCCCTCCTCAGCACTCTGGATTATAGTTTTGGTAATCCTACACCTCCTCCTAATTTCCAAACTCTGAATTCTCTGCTGAATACATACACCTCTTCCATACTCTCTCCTCTCCAATCTGATATCCAATCTTTCGTTACCTAATTTTTTTTTATCATCACATTACTCTTCTCTACATTCACTTTTAGTTTTCTTCTTTTACATACCCTACCAAACTCGTCTACTTACTGCTGCAACCTATCTTCAGAATCTCCCAAAAGCACAGTGTTATCAGCACAGAGCAACTGTGCCAACTCCCACTTTGTGTTAGATTCTTTATCTTTTAACCTCACACCTCTTACTAACACCAAAGCATTCACTTCTGTTAAAACTCTTACAATCCTTGTCTAAGGCCTACTTTTACTGGGAAATAATCTCCCTTTCTCCTACATACTCTAACCTTAGCCTCATAAAAACTTTTCACTGCTTTCAATAACCTACCTCCTATTCCATACATTTGTAACATCTGCCACACTGCCCCCCTATCCACCCTATCATATGCCTTTTTCAAATCCATAAATAACACAAAAACCTCTTTACCCCTATCTAAATACTGTTCACCTATATGTTTCACTGCAAACGCTTGGTCTATACACCCCCTACCCTTCCTAAACCTTCCTTGTTCATCTGCTATCCTACTCTCAGTTTTACTCTTAATTCTTTCAATAACAACTCTACCATGTTGTTAGGTAAGACACATGTGCAACAGTTAGGTATCTTTATTTCGAAACGTTTCGCCTACACAGTAGGCTGCTTCAGTCGAGTACAGAAAAGTTGATAGAAGCAGAAGAGACTTGAAGACGACATAATCAGTCCATCAACTTGGACAACTTCTACTAGTGAGAATAGCTGGATTTGAGAGGGACGTGACCTCCCAACAACTACATTCTTAGCTCTACTAGTGGCCTACATCTCACCTCCTGGCGGTATATAAGGCTCCATCCTGTCACTTCAACTCCATATTGTTTCAGACTATGGAACAATACTCTTCTCCAGACTGAGGGACTGTCCACCTCAAAATTTCAAGGGTGATGGACTGATTACATTGTCTTCAAGTCTCTTCTGCTTCTATCAACTTTTCTGTACTCGACTGAAGCAGCCTACTGTGTAGGCGAAACGTTTCGAAATAAAGATACCTAACTGTTGCACATGTGTCTTACCTAACAACCTGTCGGTATTTTATACCATTTTAATATTTAACAACTCTACCATGCACTTTACCGGGTATACTCAACAGACTTATTCCTCTATAATTTTTGCACTCTCTTTTGTCCCTTTTGCATTTATACAAAGGAACTATGCATAATCTCTGCCAATCCCTAGGTAACTTACCCTCTTCCATTTTTTTTTTTTTTTTTTCAACAAGTCGGCCGTCTCCCACCTAGGCAGGGTGACCCAAAAAAAAAAGAAAGAAAATCCCCAAAAAGAAAATACTTTCATCATCATTTAACACTTTCACCACACTCACACATTATCACTGTTTTTGCAGAGGTGCTCAGAATACAACAGTCTAGAAGCATACACATATAAAGATACACAACATATCCCTCCAAACTGCCAATATCCCAAACCCCTCCTTTAAAGTGCAGGCACTGTACTTCCCATTTCCAGGACTCTTCCATACATTTATTAAAAAAAGCACCAACCACTCCAAAACTATATCCCCATCTGCTTTTAACATTTCTATCTTTATTCCATCAATCCCACCTGTCTTACCCCCTTTCATTCTACTCATCATGGCTGTTTAATATATTTATAGATGGGGTTGTAAAAGAAGCAAATGCTAGGGTGTTCGGGAGAGGGGTGGGATTAAATTATGGGGAATCAAATACAAAATGTGAATTGATACAGTTACTTTTTGCTGATGATACTGTCCTTATGGGAGATTCTAAAAAAAAATTACAAAGGTTAGTGGACGAGTTTGGGATTGTGTGTAAAGGGAGAAAGTTGAAAGTGAACATAGAAAAGAGTAAGGTGATGAGGGTATCAAATGATTTAGATAAAGAAAAATTGGATATCAAATTGGGGAGTAGTAGTATGGAAGAAGTGAATGTTTTCAGATATTTGGGAGTTGATGTGTCGGCAGATGGATTTATGAAGGATGAGGTTAATCATAGAATTGATGAGGGAAAAAAGGAGAGTGGTGCATGAGGTATATGTGGAGACAAAAAACGTTATCTATGGAGGCAAAGAAGGGAATGTACGAAAGTATAGTAGTACCAACACTCTTTTATGGGTGTGAGGCTTGGGTTGTAAATGCTGCAGTGAGGAGGCGGTTGGAGGCAGTGGAGATGTCCTGTCTAAGGGCAATGTGTGGTGTAAATATTATACAGAAAATTCGGAGTGTGAAAATTAGGAGAAGGTGTGGAGTTAATAAAAGTATTAGTCAGAGGGCTGAAGAGGGGTTGTTGAGGTGGTTAGGTCATTTAGAGAGAATGGATCAAAGTAGAATGACATGGAGAGTGTATAAATCTGTAAGGGAAGGAAGGCAGGGTAGGGGTCGTCCTCAAAAAGGTTGGAAGGAAGGGGTAAAGAAGGTTTTGTGGGCAAGGGGCTTGGACTTCCAGCAAGCATGCATGAGCGTGTTCGATAGGAGTGAATGGAAACAAATGGTATTTGAGAGCTGACGAGCTGTTGGAGTGTGAGCAAGGATTTAGTGAAGGGATTCACCCTGCCTCGGTGGGAGCCAGCCGACTTGTTGAAAAAAAAAAAAAAAAAAAAAAAAAAAAAAATTCAGGGAAACTGGCTATTTTTATATAGCCGAACTTGAGTCCTGGAAATGGGAGGTACAATGCCTGCACTCTAAAGGAGGGGTTCAGGATATTGGCGGTTTGGAGGGATATGTTGCGTATCTTTATACGTATATACTTCTAAACTGTTGTATTCTGGGTACCTCTGCAAAAACAGTGATTATGTGTGAGTGAGGTGAAAGTGTTGAATGATGATGAAAGTATTTTCTTTTTGGGGATTTTTTCTTTCTTTTTGGGTCACCCTGCCTCGGTGGGAGACGGCCGACTTGTTAAAAAAAAAAAAAATGTGAGCAAGGGGCTAGTAACCCCTTCTCCTGTATAAAATACTAAATGTAAAAAGAAAAATTTTTGTTTTTCATTTTGGGCCACCCTGCCTTAGTGGGATACTACCAAAAAATATTAGTCCATAGACCAGAACTACTTCAGTATTTTCTTTTTTTTTTTTAAATTTCGTATATCCTAACAAAAAAATAATTAATCCTCCCAACAAATAATATGACGTAATTGATGAAAACCCCTTTGAGAACTGAAATAACCCAATAAACTATATAGAGTATTACATACAACATATGTGAAGGTAAAGCGAGCATGACAGAGCTTGAGGTGTTTTAGAAGTGAGTAGAGAGCCATACAGTTGAGGGAGCACCAAGGACAGTGGAAGTCCCGCCTGGCTTCAGTCTGTTGTCTGCTGTTGTTATTATACACAAATTGGTAGAGCACAAGTTGGGGAGCCTCAGGACTAGCCACACCTAGTAAAAAAAAAAAAAAATATGAAAACATGCAAAAAAATATTTTCAGAGGCTTAATCCCAATAATGCAACAATAAATTTTCTAAAATTAATACCCAGTATACCCCTCAAATCACAGTACATACATTAAATATAGTATACTGCATTTTATTTTTATTTTTCCAAAAACATTTAAAAATTAGGATAAACTATAGATTATGTAGAAGTGCACTAAAAATAACAAAGAGGCACAATGCCGTGACTGGAACAATACACAAATAACCCGCACATAGAAGAGAGGAGCTTACGACGACGTTTCGGTCCGATTTGGACCATTTACAAAGTCACACAAACGAAAAGGAGCAGGATAGGCATATATAGGCAGGAGGTGGTAGTAGTAGTACTGTTAAAGTTGGAAGTAGGGAAGACAGTTTTAGCAGAAAACCAGTCAATAGGATGGCTGTGATCACTGATGTGACAGAAAAGAGCATTGTTAGTGTCGGCAAGCCTAACACTATTTTTGTGCTCCCTAAGTCTGTCAGAAAGAGATCGACCAGTTTCTCCAAAGTATTGAAGAGGACAGGAGGAACAAGAAATAGAGTAGACACCAAGATCATCTGTAGAGGGAGGAGAGGTATGAACGAGATTAGTGCAAAGAGTGGTGGCCATCCTATTGACTGGTCTTCTGCTAAAACTATCTTCCCTACTTCCAACTTCAACAGTCGCCGTCTTGTTGAATCCTCCCTAATACACAATTTTCCTTGTATGAATCTTAGTCCTGGCTTCGTCTCTGTAGATGCCTTCCTCTCCCACTACATTGTTAAATGCTCCAAACTTCAGAACACTCGTGACCTAACCTGATGCCTCCTTTTTCTTCTCCCTCTTCCCCTTTTCCTCTTTCCTGTTTCTCCTTTGGGTTATCTTTCTTCTGCCCTGTGTATTTGTTCCTTTTATTTATTTATTTGTTTTTTTTTCCCCCTCTATTTGTTTTTTTTCCCCCTCTGTGTTTTTGCTCTTACCCTCTGTGGGCACCTAGCCCCCTTACAGTGCTCCTCTTTCTTAGTATTTGACTGGCCCCTCCTACTCTTACCACCTCCCCACTACTACTTCCTTCCACCTCCACTACTACCACCACTACTACTACTACCACCTCCTGCCTATATATACCCATCCTGCTCCTTTTTGTTTGTGTGACTTTGTAAATGGCCCAAGTCGGACTGAAACGTCGTCGTAAGCTCCTCTCTTCTATGTGCTGGTTATTTGTGTATAGTGCACTAAAAAATTATGCTGTTAGGTATAGTTTTTGTATTTTATTCTATTTTATATTAAAGAATGGTCATGGAAGAGAGGGGAAGAGGTACTGAGCACACATTCAAAAAAAAAAAAAATGGGTATAGCAATTTAAAAGGTCTGTATGATTTGGCATTAATGTTACAATTCTTATTTTGAATGTCTATTATGAGGCCTGGTTATGGACCAGGCCACGGGGGGAGTATGAGCTGATAACAACAAATTCCTGTAATACAGGGAACACATGAATGAGTTTCCTACATACAATAATTTCAAAGCAACATATATGTCTATCTTTTTTATACACTCCTATTCTATTGAAGTAATTATATATATCATGGTATACAGTAGGATACAGCACCATCAAATGTGTTAATGCATCTTCAGTGGGTAGAAAGACCATCAAAAATTGCAGTACAATGTGTTCACTAAAATACCATACTCTAGTACAATATTTCCACTAAATGTTGAAATGTAATACTGCAGTCAGCAAATGCCTGCCACTTTTCATAAAAATGAACACTACTCAATTTTACTGAATATTCATACACTTACACACTCTTATATGGGTGTGAAGCAAGGGTTATTGAATGTTGCAGTGAGAGGCAGTCTGGAGGCAGAGGAGTTGTCATGTCTGAGGGTAATGTGTGGTGTAAATATTATGCAGAGAATTCGTCGCTTGGAGATTTACAAGATGTGAGGTTACTTAAAGTATTATCCAGAGGGCTGATGAAGGGTTGCTGAGGTGATTCGGACATCTAGAGAAGATGGAACAAAATAAAATGACTTGGAAGGCATATAAATCTGTAATGGAGGGAAAGGGGGATAGGGGTTGTCTTAGGAAAGGTTAGAGGGAGAGGGTAAAGGACAATTTATGTGTGAGTGGCTTAGACTTCTAGTAAGCATGTGTGAGCCTGTTAGATATGAATGGAGGCAAATGGTTTTCACGATTTGATGTGCTGTTGGAGTGTGAGCAAGTTAATACTATCTATGAAGGGATTCAGAGAAACCAATTAGTCATATTAAAGTTCTGGAAGTAGGAACTACAGTGCCTGCACTCTGAAGGAAGGGCAGGGATATTCCCAATTTTGAACTGTAGTATCAGTGCCCCCTCTGGCAAGACAGTGATGGAGTGAGTGATGGTAAAGTACAGTGGACCCCCGGTTAACGATATTTTTTCACTCCAGAAGTATGTTCAGGTGCCAGTACTGACCGAATTTGTTCCCATAAGGAATATTGTGAAGTAGATTAGTCCATTTCAGAGCCCCAAACATACACGTACAAACGCACTTACATAAATACACTTACATAATTGGTCGCATTCGGAGGTGATCGTTATGCGGGGGTCCACTGTATTTCTTTTTTTCTTTGGGTCACCTTGACTCAGTGGGAGATGGCTGGTTTGTTGAAGAAAATAAGCTTTTAGGCTTTTATATGCTTTGGCAAGTAAAAAAAAAAAAAAAAAAAAAAAAAAAAAAAAAAAAAAAAAAAAAAAAAAAAACTGTCATTCGTTTTACAACAGTGGTATGGAATCTAACCCATCGTGTTAGTGAGGCATGCCTGTACTGAGGGTTAGCGATAGCTGACATCCTAAACAGTAAAACAACATTGATGACAATGATAAAATTCAATTACAGCAAAAAATTTCATACCCTGAGGCTTTGGTTTTGTAGATGCACTATTAGCCAAGACAACATCTAGGGGTTTTAGAGGTCGTAGTCTTGGTCGCTCTATGACAGAGGTTGAGTTTTCACTGTTCCAGTTTAATGTAAACTTAAGAACAGGAATATTATTAAATATACCATCAAATTTGAGGGTATCAATGCTCTCCCAGCTCGCATTCTTCTTTGGGCTTGATTTACAAAGCTGTGTTGTCTCCCCTGCTTGAAGCTCCAACATTAATTCGTATTGTCCTGGAGTTAATAAACAACGCCCATGACGGTCAAACATCACCAATTCACCAGCATACGTTGATCCTACACCACCATGACTATCCCCATTGATTGCATTAGTGCTAATTAATGGTATATTAGAATCTTGGGAATCTTGTGAAGCACTTCGACCAACACGACGGCGCTTGACAACAGGTTCCCCTGCTGAAAGTTATGAAGTACTATTAATGGGAAGGCTTTATCCAATACTAAAAAAAAAAAAAAAAAAATACAATATTAATACTAATTAATATTTTTCTAATAAGTAATTTATGTCTTTGAGTGCAACTCTGCTGCAGAAAATTCTCAAAGCTTTCCTGTTAACATTAAAAAAAAAAAATAAATTTCCTGACCAATTTGCAACAAGAAAATATGAACATGCCACACACGCACCAAAAACTATATTAAAAATATATATGCCTGGGATAAACCAACACTAGAAAAACTGACAAAATAATGTCCCTGTGAACTTAACCTATAAAAAGAAAATGGGGTAAAGTTTACTACAACAATCATTTTTTTTTTCATAATCCCAGTTATAAGGTGGGGACATACTTTGTTATCATAGATGGCATCAGAAAACAAGACATACAGGTTTCATATCCTCTGAGGAAACTCTCAATGGCATTTATTTATACATATATTGTTTATCACCATTGGAATCTGAAGTCAAAACAGAGGAGACTAAATAAACCATTTCCCACACAGAAGTCAATGTAAGTTTTCATACCACCTGCAGCTTCAAAATTAAAATGTGACAAAAATGGTGATAATGTTTATATACATTATATAATTTTTTATCACCAAGGAACACCAGATTCTGACTGTGTGTATGCAAGAAAAACTTTACAAATGGCAATGTCATGATACCATACCGGTAAATTAACTTTTAAATTTACGGCACTACTGCAACCTTCCAATACTATACCTACTGAACATTGTGCATCAGTTTGGTTGTGTTGAATATGTTTTGTAATAAATAAACAAACGAGTATAGTGGATCCTTGGTTATCAGCCGTAATCCATTCCAGAAGGTCAGCCTAAAACCGAAATGGCCTAAAACCGAAATAATATTTCCCATAAGAATTAATGTAAATACAATTAATCCATTTCAGACACCCAAAAATATTAGCAAACAAAATACATTTTTTAAAGATTAATTATAGTTTTACATACACAAAACAATGAGAACTAAATAAAATAAGTAAATGAATATTTAAATCATTATTACATACCTTTACTGAAGACTCTTGTTGGCTTATGGAAGACAGGAAGGAGGAGAGGGGAAAGACTGATTATTGTTTGGAAGGGGAATCCTTCTCCATAAGGACTTCAGGTATCAAGGCCCTCTCTGGGGTTACTTCCCTCCCTGTCTGCTACACTCCCTGCCTGCCTGCTACACTTCCTGCATGCCTATTACACTCCTTGCATGCCTACTACACTCCCTGCATGCCTACTACACTCCCTGCCTCCCTTCCACACTCCCTGGTTCCCTGCTACAGTCCCTGCCTCCCTGTCACACTCCCTCCCTCCATGCTACACTCCCTGCCTGCCTGCATGCCTACTACACTCCCTGCCTCCCTGCTAAACTCCGTTTCGCAACATTAGCTTTCTTGAGCTCTACTTTCTTTGCCAAGTTCTTTCTTAAATTCCATCGTGTTTCTCACTTTCTTTACCAAAGAAACTTTACTAAGAACTTTCTTTGGGCCTATGGTTGCTTATTTCGCAGTTGCACTCAATCAATAACCACAAAAAACAATGGATTATAGCGAAATGTTTGGATGAATGAGCAGAAGTTTCCTCACTCACCCAGAGACACAGCCAGACTGACTCAAGAATGCGCGAGCGGCTGGCGGGCGGGCAGGTGGACGCATCCCATACAGCTGATAAGTGAAATAACGGCCAATAACAGGAATAAAATTTCGGCCAAAAAAAACGGGCGATAACTGAGTTGGCCGATATCCGGAAAGGCCAATAACCAAGGGTTCACTGAATACATAAACAAGTGAGTCTGTGAGGCTGAGCTGACACTGGCAATGTTTACAAATGGATGATTTACTCTAACCTCCCACTCCTGTGTTTATATCATCAGTTAAAATGTGAGGAAAATATATCAATACTGGATTGTTTAATTCATAATGCCTCATTCCAACTCTTTAATGTGCAAACATAAATCACTAGTAATTTTTTACAGTGACATTATTGATATACTGTACATGAATACTCTGAACAGAACAATCCCAAACAGGCCCAAGGGCCATCGCAACCCTGACTCAACAATAATAAAATGTGGTACAGGTCCACAACCCTTTATCCAGAATTCTGAAATTGGAAAAGTTCCGAAAACTGAAGTTTTTTCGGGAAGTGTGGAGCATCAGTCATCTCAGTGCTTGGTCATGCCGCCATGTGGCAGCGTTGAGAATCATTCTGAACTTTGAAAAATCCTGAAATTTGAAACAATACTGGCCCCAAGGGTTTCGGATAAAGGGATGTGGACCTGTAATATCCAAGTATTTTTTCTTTCCATTTTTTTTTTTTTAACAAGTCGGCCATCTCCCACTGAGGCAGGGTGACCCAAAAAAGAAAGAAAATCCCCAAAAAGAAAATGCTTTCATCACCATTCAACACTTTCACCTCACTCACACATAATCACTGTTTTTGCAGAGGTGCTCAGAACACAACAGTTTAGATGCATATATCTATAAAGATACACAACATATCCCTCCAAACTGCTAATATCCCGAACCCATATTTTGATAAAAAAAGAAATTTATACATTCCAGTCATACAAAATGGAAGTACAGCAGATCGTCAATGAATATGGCAGTTATGTTCATAAAAATGGCATGAGAATAAAGAATAATGACAAATGAAGTTAAGAAAATTTGGAAAAATAGAATTATGCTCAACGATCCTCCAAAAATGACAAATAACTTTTTTTAAGCTTTGTAATTCATCAAAATTTAAAAATATTAATGTTCCATTCCTTACATTATAGTCATCATTGCTTGTTGTTCAAGAAATGTGTGGAAGGAGTTGAAGTGACCCTGTACAATACCTGAACAAAAATATGACACACAGTTCTACAATTATCACCTACCATGTCCACAATCACCTGCTAACATTAATCAATATACCATATATTTCCAACCATGACACTTAAGATTTTTTTTACTACATAAATAAATATGCATGGAATAATAACGCCAATATGTGAGTACAAGCTATCCCGAAAAAAATTTAAACAACGATCAAGATAACAAAAAAATATTCATAGGTTATCACCATGCTCTGGTGGTGGTGGGGTGGTGTTGGGTTTAAGAGTAATGGATGTATTCAGATATTTGGGAGTCGACTTGTCAGTGGATGGGTTTACGAAGGATGAGGTTAACCATAGGACTGATGAAGAAAAAAGGTGAGTGGTGCATTGGGGTATCTGTAGAGACAAAAAAAAATTTATCCATGGAGGCAAAGAAGGGAATGTATAAGAGTACAGTGGTACCAACACTCTTATATGGATGTGAAGTATGGGTTGTAAATGCTTCAGTAAGGAGGAGGATGGAAGCAGTGGAGATGTCATGTCTAAGGACAATGTGTGGTGTGAAAATATTATGCAGAGAATTCAGTGTGGAAATTAGGTGGTGGTGTGGAGTTGCTAAAAATATTATTCAGAGGGATGAGGGATTGTTCAGGTGGTCTGGTCATTCAGAGAGGATGGAGCAAAATAGGATGACTTGGAAGGTGTATAAATCTGTAGTGGAGGGGAGGAGGGGTAGGGGTTATAATAGGAAAGGATGGAGGGAGGGGGTAAAAGAGGTTTCGTGAGCAAGAGGCTTGGACATACAGAAGGCATGTGTGAGCATGTTAGACAGAAGTGAATGGAGACTAATGGTTTTTGGGCCCTGACAAGCTGTTTGAGTGCAAGCAGGGTAATATTTTGTAAAGGGACTCAGGGAAACCAGTTAGCCAGACTTGTGTCCTGAAGGTGGGAAGTACAATGCCTGCACTTTAAAGAAGGGGTTTGGGATATTGGCTGTTTGGAGTGACATCTAAACTGTCATATCTAAGCATCTCTGCAAAGACAGTGAATATGTATGAATGATGGCGAGTGATAAACAATGATGAAACTTTTTTCTTTCTTTTTGGGTTTTTCTTTCTTTTTGGGTCACCCTGCCTCACTGGGAAATGTCTGACGTGTAAAAAAATACATATAATTATCTTTTGTGAATAGCTAGAAATGCATGTTCCTGTTGCTTAGTGTGGCCTAAAAAATTTAGTATTATAAACACCCCTATCTGACCAGTGCCCAGGAGACCAGGCATGGGGTCATTGGCTACCATAATCCACAGCACTGCCCAACAGTGGCTGTTTCTTACTATACTCCTGCCACAGCACAAATTCATATGAGACACCCACATCAAATCATTTTCTCAGAAAAATGTAGCAATAACATTTAAAAACAAGAACTTGACTTACCATTTTCTTGATCGTGCACTAAAGAAACACGGAATACTAAGACATAAGACTTGACTTGATGGCCATTACTTGAGGTAAAATTGTGTGTAGGTATGCTAAGGCAGGCATTTCGCCCACAACCACCACCACCTTCCCCTTCTGATGGATTGATGTTCACATCCTGTGTCCCTACAGATACCTGTCAACAAAAGAACACAGATTGAGGGTATAAAGCTTCCATTTTCAGTTAAAGTTGGTTACTATCTGCTCTACCTAAAGCTGTGTGTGTTTCAAATTTATGTTACAATATTTTGTGACATGACTAATATCAGCTGTAACACTTTTGTATACTTACACCCCATCGCTCACAAATTACGACAGTATATGTACTGTATCCAGTATACATCTTATACTTACATGATTACACGCATACCAGTGAAGATTTATAAGAGAAATTAACATACAATGTAAAAGCAAGAAGCACTTACACTGAAAATTTCATGCAAATTGGTTGAAAAAAAAATTCTTTGCTTGCCTATTAACATCCCAGTTAACACACATTGACAACAGACCCACATTAACACTGCCATGATGGAATATTTTACTTTTGATCCCCCCCCCCCCAAAAAAAATAGAAAATATCCAAAGTTCTCACTTTAATTATAAATTACATATAAGCAATAGCCCAAATGTGTGAATAAGATGGTGTAGAACCATTTATTCTATAACATGTTAAAAATTCAAGTCAACAACTCTATAAAAATACATGGAATACAAGTGCAAAAACCATGAACTGAATGAGCACTGAGTCTCTCCCGACAATGGTCATGGTAAACGGCAAAGTAACATTTAGAAGGGATTCAGGGAAACCTATTAGCACAAAACAGTCCTGGAGGCAGAAAGTACAGTGCCTGAACTCCAAAGAAGGGGTGAAGATGTTCCAGTTCAGAGGGCCATTGTTCAGTTGTCAGCACACTTCTAGCAAGAGAGCCATTGAATGGAGAGGAATCATCGCTAAGTAGTTTAACAATACATGCAAAAGAGGAATGACTCAGAGCATAGTAAGACCATAGCAGGAAGTACATTGCCTGCACTTTAAAGGAGGGGTTTGGGATAGTGGCAGTTTGGAAGGACATCTAAACTGTAGTATCTGAGTGCCTCTGCAAAGACAGTGATTATGTACAAGTGATGGTGAAAGTGTTGAATGATGATGAAAGTTTTTTCTTTCTGTTTGGGTTTTTCTTTCATTTTGGGTCACCCTGCCTCAGTGGAAAACAGCTTTAGAATGGGTAGGGGGATGTGTAGATCAAGTGTTTACATTGAAGCATATATGTAAACAGTATTTGGATAAAGGCAGGGAAGTTTTCATTGCATTTATGGATTTAGAAAAGGCCTATGATAGAGTGGATAGGGGAGCAATGTGGCAGATGTTGCAAGTGTATGGAATAAGTAATAAGTTACTAAATGGTGTAAAGAGTTTTTATGAGGATAGTGAGGCTCAGGTTAGGGTGTGTAGGAGAGGGGGAAACTACTTCCCAGTAAAAGTAAGTCTTAGACTGGAATGTGTAATGTCATCATGGTAGTTCCATATACAGTGGAACCTCGGCTTATGAATGCCCCACCATGCGAATTTTTCAGGATACGAACCGTTGTTCGGTCGAACTTGCCCCTCAAGGGAGGCTCCTAAAATAAATAAATAAAATAAAATATTTATTTCTTTGCAAAGGTTACAATGTGTGTTTACATATAATATGATTGGAGCAAAGAAAGCCACTATCATGCCAAGGCATTTCGGGCAGACTTAACCTAATACTAATAGACTACTTAGGTCTAGACAGGTGAAAAGTGTACTAGTAGTGGTTACCAATGTTTTGCTGATGGTGGTGCCAACTACTGGCAGCCTTATGAAATTTCTCCTTACTGTTATTATTATTACTATTATATTGTATTATCATGTTTTCAGATACTTGGGAGTTGACGTGTCAGCGGATGGATTTATGAAGGATGAGGTTAATCATAGAATTGATGAGGGAAAAAAGGTGAGTGGTGCGTTGAGGTATATGTGGAGTCAAAAAACGTTATCTATGGAGGCAAAGAAGGGAATGTATGAAAGTATAGTAGTACCAACACTCTTATATGGATGTGAAGCTTGGGTGGTAAATGCAGCAGCGAGGAGACGGTTGGAGGCAGTGGAGATGTCCTGTCTAAGGGCAATGTGTGGTGTAAATATTATGCAGAAAATTCGGAGTGTGGAAATTAGGAGAAGGTGTGGAGTTAATAAAAGCATTAGTCAGAGGGCAGAAGAGGGGTTGTTGAGGTGGTTTGGTCATTTAGAGAGAATGGATCAAAGTAGAATGACATGGAAAGCATATAAATCTATAGGGGAAGGAAAGAGGGGTAGGGGTCGTCCTCGAAAGGGTTGGAAAGAGGGGGTAAAGGAGGTTTTGTGGGTGAGGGGCTTGGACTTCCAGCAAGCGTGCATGAGCGTGTTAGATAGGAGTGAATGGAGACGAATGATACTTGGGACCTGACGATCTGTTGGAGTGTGAGCAGGGTAATATTTAGTGAAGGGATTCAGGGAAACCGTGTATTTTCATATAGTCGGACTTGAGTCCTGGAAATGGGAAGTACAATGCCTGCACTTTAAAGGAGGGGTTTGGGATATTGGCAGTTTGGAGGGATATGTTGTGTATCTCTATACGTATATGCTTCTAAACTGTTGTATTCTGAGCACTTCTGCAAAAGCAGTGATAATGTGTGAGTGTGGTGAAAGTGTTGAATGATGATGAAAGTATTTTCTTTTTGGGGATTTTCTTTCTTTTTTTGGGTCACCCTGCCTCGGTGGGAGACGACCGACTTGTTGAAAAAAAAAAAAAAAATTGTTATAATAATTATTATTGTAACATGTACGCACTAATAATAATAATACGTAATAATATTATGCGGAGATAATATTTTAAGGAACTTTTAAATGTCGACGAAGAAAGGGAGGCGGTAATTTCATGCACTGGCCAGGGAGGTATACTATCTTTTAGGAGTGAAGAAGAGCAGGATGTGAGTGTGGGGGAGGTGTGTAAGGCATTACATAGAATGAAAGAGGGTAAAGCAGCTGGAACTGATGGGATCATGATAGAAATGTTAAAAGCAGAGGGAGACATAGTGTTGGAGTGGTTGGTATTTTTGTTTAATAAATGTATGAAAGAGGGGAAGGTACCTAGGGATTGGCGGAGAGCATGTATAGTCCCTTTATATAAAGGGAAAGGGGACAAAAGAGACTGTAAAAATTATAGAGGAATAAGTTTACTGAGTATACCAGGAAAAAGTGTACGATAGGGTTATAATTGAAAGAATTAGAGGTAAGACAGAATGTAGGATTGCGGATGAGCAAGGAGGTTTCAGAGTGGGTAGGGGATGTGTAGATCAAGTGTTTACATTGAAGCATATATGTGAACAGTATTTAGATAAAAGTAGGGAAGTTTTTATTGCATGTATGGATTTAGAAAAGGCATATGATAGAGTGGATAGAGGAGCAATGTGGCAGATGTTGCAAGTATATGGAATAGGTGGTAAGTTATTAAATGCTGTAAATAGTTTTTATGAGGATCGTGAGGCTCGGGCTAGGGTGCGTAGAAGAGAGGGAGACTACTTCCCGGTAAAAGTAGGTCTTAGACAGGGATGTGTAATGTCACCATGGTTGTATAATATATTTATAGATGGGGTTGTAAAGGAAGTAAATGCTAGGGTGTTCGGGAGAGGGCTGGGATTAAATTTTGGGGAATCAAATTCAAAATGGGAATTGACACAGTTACTTTTTGCTGATGATACTGTGCTTATGGGAGATTCTAAAGAAAAATTGCAAAGGTTAGTGGATGAGTTTGGGAATGTGTGTAAAGGTAGAAAGTTGAAAGCGAACATAGAAAAGAATAAGGTGATGAGGGAGTCAAATGATTTAGATAAAGAAAAATTGGATATCAAATTGGGGAGGAGGAGTATGGAAGAAGTGAATGTTTTCAGATACTTGGGAGTTGATGTGTCGGTGGATGGATTTATGAAGGATGAGGTTAATCATAGAATTGATGAGGGAAAAAAGGTGAGTGGTGCGTTGAGGTATATGTGGAGTCAAATAACGTTATCTATGGAGGCAAAGAAGGGAATGTATGAAAGTACAGTAGTACCAACACTCTTATATGGGTGTGAAGCTTAGGTGGTAAATGCAGCAGCGAGGAGACGGTTGGAGGCAGTGGAGATGTCCTGTTTAAGGGCAATGTGTGGTGTAAATATTATGCAGAAAATTCGGAGTGTGGAAATTAGGAAAAGGTGTGGAGTTAATAAAAGTATTAGTCAGAGGGCAGAAGAGGGGTTGTTGAGGTGGTTTGGTCATTTAGAGAGAATGGATCAAAGCAGAATGACATGGAAAGCATATAAATCTATAGGGGAAGGAAGGCGGGGTAGGGGTCGTCCTCGAAAGGGTTGGAGAGAGGGGGTAAAGGAGGTTTTGTGGGCAAAGGGCTTGGACTTCCAGCAAGCGTGTGTGAGCGTGTTAGATAGGAGTGAATGGAGACGAATGGTACTTGGGACCTGACGATCTGTTGGAGTGTGAGCAGGGTAATATTTAGTGAAGGGATTCAGGGAAACCAGTTATTTTCATATAGTCGGACTTGAGTCCTGGAAATGGGAAGTACAATGCCAGCACTTTAAAGGAGGGGTTTGGGATATTGGCAATTTGGAGGGATATGTTGTGTATCTTTATATGTGTATGCTTCTAAACTGTTGTATTCTGAGCACCTCTGCAAAAACAGTGATAATGTGCGAGTGTGGTGAAAGTGTTGAATGATGATGAAAGTATTTTCTTTTTGGGGATTTTCTTTCTTTTCTGGGTCACCCTGCCTCGGTGGGAGACGGCCGACTTGTTGAAAAAAAAAAAAAATGTATGAAAGAGGGGAAGGTACCTAGGGATTGGCAGAGAGCGTGTATAGTCCCTTCATATAAAGGGAAAGGGAGACAAAAGAGATTGTAAAAATTATAGAGAAATAAGTGTACCAAGTATACCAGGAAAAGTGTACGGTAGGCTTATTATTGAAAGAATTAGTGGTAAGACAGAATGTAGAATTGCGGATGAGCAAGGAGGTTATAGAGTGGGTAGGGGATGCGTAGATCAAGTGTTTACTTTGAAGCATATATGTGAACAGTATTTAGATA